GATTAGACACTTAAAGGATTACAGATTGTATATTCTGAAAATTTTACGAGAGTGATTAGTTGAAGGAATATGAAAGTCAAGTAATTTAGAGAATCTACGTCTCTTAAGTCTTTCAAAGAAGAGGGTGTAGATCGTTACTAAAATCCTCTCTGAAAACAGAGAAATATTAAATATAATTCTATATTGCATAAAATTTGCTTGCCAATTTTAACTTTGATATTTATAGAAAGAAAATTAAGTAATCAATTTGCATAAGCTGCCGTTCAAGTAATAGGAATGCACTAAATGAGGTGAATCTGAGAAAATGACGGATCTCACACAGTGTACTAGGTCCACATAAATGCTCTTTTTGACTGTCACTCTCCATATCACGTGGTCTATAGTTCAGGGGTTAACAACAACTGTCCACAATACGTGTTAAACTGGAAAATGTGAATAGTTTAGGGAGTTTAGAGGTATTAACTCAAAAGAATATCTCACTTAGATTTTTTTTTATCATTTATCAATAAAACAGGTAGGATAGCAAAAAAGGAAAAAATGTTAAAGATTGTTGACCAGAATCAATTTAAAGGTGGATGACATTCCATTTCCATTTGACCAAGATTTCGTACACGACTCTCACTCCTCATCAAAGCACACTAACATCCCTCAATTTTCACCCAATATTTCTTGCGCACACTGAAGGGAATAAACAATCTAAAGGCATGTCCTAAATCTCTCTCTGTCTTATCTTCTTCTTACATTCTTTAAGGTTGTTTTTCTGATTAATTCTTTACTCATGTCGGATCTTGATTCCAAAAGTTGTTGTGGGTGTTAAAAGGAATTCGGTGTACACCTTGTGGAATTCTTTTCTCCTTTTTCTGGCGATTTGATTTTTGCCCATACAGATCTGAATTCAAGGTTCTCTCAATTTGTATATCTTACTTTCCTGCATTTCAATTATTAGTAAATTAGTGTGGTATGATAAAATGTGTGCTTTCTTGTTTTGTCAAGGTTGGTTTTGATTTACTGAATTTTCATTTTATTTAAATAATGATTCAATTTGAATCCTGCTATCAAGAATGTAGCTTCTTTTGATGTTTTTACAGGCTTCTCATCGTTATCCAAAAAAATTGTAAACTTCATTTTCTGACCTGCATAGGTTAAATGCAAATGGTGCTTTGGTTATTCCGTCTTTTCTTTTCTCAAAAAGAAATTTGGATTTTGAGGCATCTAACATATAAGCTCCATAGATAGATGATTAGTAGTTTATATGAGAGAAAAGATTGATGTAGGCTTCATATCAGCTGCTAAAACTCTAATGTTAGTTCCCTCTCTATGGAAATCAGTCGGCAACTAGCACTTTAGAGGCAAACATCACTCATGCCTCATTCGTTTGCACTTAATGGAGGTCTTAATCTGAATTGTTCAGATCCAGACAATTAAGTGCATTTGTTTGTAAGATGTGAATCTTGATTAAGATTCAACCCATTAAGTGCATTTGTTTTTGTTTCGTTTAAAACCGCTTAATGGATCTTATTAGGTCTGAATGAATAATATCTGTAACAGAGTCTTAATATTATTCAGACTCTTTTAAAATAACACTCTTTATTTCACAAAACCTTCCATGCCTCTTGCTTCTCTTCTCTGCCATGTTTTCACGCTTCTCCCCCTCCTTGCTCAAGCAGACACCAATCTATTTATTCTTGAATTGGTAAGTTTCATAATCTTTACCAGTATTTTTTTCTGGTATTTCTGATATTCACAACATTTTTGGGTGTATTGGTGTTTATCTAGAGCTCTTATTACCACAAATATTTTTGTCTAGCGTTATCTATTGTGCATAGACTCCAAGACATCTTGGCATCTCTTAATCTTTGTGGCATCACCAACTTACATTAAAAAAAACATAGGAACATGTTCCATTGATCATATGCTCATGGGCAGTGAAGAAACAGGTGGTTGACTGTCTCCTGAGTTGTCTTGCAAAAATAGCATCTGTTGACCAACTGCAATTCTTTCCTATTCAGGTTGTCTAGAGTAAGGCAAGCATTGTTTAGTTTGATCCAGCTGAAGCACTTAATCTTCATAGATAGATTGGTCTTCCATACTAACTTTCATGGCCATCTAGCAGGTACTTGACTTTGTGAGCATAGTTGTCTATAGCATTCTTTCACTGTGAAATGTACCTTTGCTTCCCCATCTTAGCCTATCCGGTTCACTTTCATCAATACTGTGAGCTTCCACCTTTGCTAACTTTTCCATTAAACTCCCAAGTTTCTGGTCCTGCAACCTTCTGATATGCACATCCCAAGTGTTGTTTGTCTTATTTTGAGCAATTGAGGAGTCCTTATTCATAGCAATGTTAAAGATATTAGGATATTCCTCCACGAGAGTTGTTTTGTTGAGCCATCAATCCTTCCAGAACTTGATATACACACCAGCCCCAGGTTTGACATGAATTCCATGAGAGAATTCAGACCTAGCATACTGATATGTTTCCAAGGCCCAACTCCATAAAGCAGAACTACAGTGTTAGAGCTCCAGTTGTCCTTCCTACCATGTTTAGCAATGCTTACATCCTTCCCCATTGCCATTTCATGAGTAAGGATTTGTTGTGAATTGCCAGATCTTTAACTCCATTTCCCCATTGCAATTTGGAAGCAAAACTTTGTCCCGTCATTTCAAGAATAATGATATCATTATATCAATCGCACTTGGGAATTTATTATGCAAGAAATGGTGCAATCCAAACAAGCTAGGATTCACATTTAGGATGCATCTCAAAACCCTATTTCTTTATGCGTATGGAGGAAAAGCCTTAAAGGATCACTTTCCAAATCTAACCCAAAGGATCCAATGATGATTGACACCCACAATTCACAATTCACATATACGAGCTTACATAAACACGTTACGAAAATGCCCAACTAAGTCAACCAAGTGACTAACACTTAAATTCAACTTCACAAGTCTTAGCAAAAATCTATGCATTCGAAAGTCAAACCTTGAGTTTTAACTCCAATCCACCCATTAAACATGTTATGTAATCTAATTGCTCCATTAGAAATCCCACGCGATATTGTTTAAGCAAAGGCCCATCACTCTTCATCATCTTTACCAACAAACATCCACTTTCAAGATTAGTTTTCTAAGGTTCAATGAAGCAATATTAAATATAAATCTTGTTTTATAAAAATTCTCTACTATGTCCATGGAGTATGATATATAAGATTGGAGTGAAGGGATAACCTTTTTGTCAAATCCTATAGTTTTCTCCCCATTGAACACCTTGTATTTGTATTTTGGTTAGGACTAACCGTATTGGTCTCTTCTCAATGATCTTGTACAAAGTTTGGTATGCCTAACTCAAAATATAACTTTTTGCACATCAATGATCAATGGAGACAAAGTTTACCCAAATAAAAAACCTATAATTCTCTAGACTTGTGCTCTTCGAAAATCCAAAGTTCCCATGATGTTGAGAAAAAGGGAATGCAATAAATGAGCCAAATATACCAAAGAAATGCATTAATTCTCACCTTGATGTAGCATTTATGGTGGTGAGTTCTCTTTTCTCTCTAGACCTTCAACAATCAAAAACCAAAATAATAAACTCTCGCTCACCGTAATTGCCTTTAAAATGCTTCAACAATATGGGACACTAGCTTTGGCGTGTTTGGAGAACTTCACTGCCCAGCATATACGTTCTAAACAAGCGTCAATTACTGAATGTCGCTCCTCCCTTTCCATTCAGTTTCTTATCTAATTGTTCCTCATTAGTTTAGCCAACGTCCTCCTTATTTCAAGGCCCCTTGTTTGCATAAAGATTAATAACATATCATTGACCTAATGATTGCTCCAATCATTTGGATAATTTGATTCATTCCAAGATTTCAAACACTCATCTCATTACATAAAAACTAAAATCCTAAGTATTCCCTTCAATCCAACTCTCAATGGTTTATGAAATAAATAACCCCAAGCATCCCAATAACTTTTCTCCACTCAAGTCACCTCATGTTGCTTGGATTCAATTAAATTGCATTCTTTAGGTCGATTCTAGCGCAAATGAATTGTAGAAATTCACGGGGCTTTGCACTTGGTCTATGAGTTCTCATTGGCTAATTTTCAAATGTAGTTTGCTGCACAGATTCATATATTTTTAGGTTTATATACAATTCTTATGGTACAGATACATTTGCTTCAAGGCCCGCTTTTGTTTTTTATGTTTTAAGAAAAGTAGAAAGGGCTTCCGGTACACTGGCTAGAACTATGCTTGAAACTGTGTTATAAAATGTAAGTGAAAGAAAAAGAGGAAACTAAGATTATATTTTTTCTGTTGAGGTAAAAAGCTTCATTAAATGTATCAAGAAGATGCAGAAGAGAAGTACAATTGAGCTTACAAATTAATGAAAAGAAAGTCAAGAGAAAAGCGTAACAAAATCTCAGAATTAAATTTCCTTACTTTATTTGGAAGGCAATTGAAAAATGTATGGAAATTGGGTTGGAGGGATATACAGTATAATGTAGGATATTACTGATCTTACCTTTAATTAGAAATCGTTGAGTTCATTGGCCAAGTTAAGTTAGAGATGGCTTTAGTAGAAGTGACCTGCCTCCATGTTAGCGAAGAATAACGACACTAGGTTTATGAGGAACGTAAGGTGAGTTCCAATATTTTCTATGATTTTGCTTTCAGTAATGATTATTTTTATCCAAAATGTGATACGTCCGCCAGTTATGCCAGCAAGAACTTAGTCCTCTGTCGTTATTTACAACCAACTTAAGTTCCAGGTTATGTTTTCCTAGTTTCTTCACTTTTGGGCATCAAAGTGCTCCTCTGACGTATTTGTACACTCGTCTATGTTTCTTTGTATTGTAGGGTTTAACTTGTTATTCTTCATGGTCTGAGTATATTCACAAGAACACAAAATGACAATAAGCAACATCAATTTGATGTCAGGAATTCAAATATTCTTCCTGGATCTAGAGAAGTAATAACTTTCTTGTTTCTACAGGAGTTTAGGAGATTGAAGCTTTTATGATGCCGTTTCAAAAACAAGAAAAGATTGAAGTTGTTGTGACGGAAGGAGGAGATTCTCCTGTAAGGAGATGGGAGGACCTTGATATCGATATATTGTTGAAGATATTCCAGTCCGTTGACCTTTTCCAGTTGATCTCTATAATTCCTCAAGTTTGTCGGTCATGGCAATTGGCTTGTTCTGACCAACTTCTCTGGAAAACGCTGGATTTGTCAGTAATGCAGTCAAATTTTATTAGAATTACAATACCACCGTATGTATATGTCGACAGTCTATCTCGTGAAAAATTGACCCACCTCCTAAAGATTTGTTTGAACCTTAGTCGTGGAAACATACTGACATTGATCTTCCATTTCAATTTGTATGTTGACAACAATCAATTGGCTTATACTGCCAAGAGGTATTCCCCTGATAAACTTTCATCTTTCTATAGGACTATACCTTAAATCAAGAAACTGTATAGCAAGCATCATTTCAGATTTCAGGCATCTGAGATAATTTTCCATTGTATACTTAATACAGGAGAAGCAAAAATTACTGTGAAAATGAAATGGACAGCTAATTAAATCTCCTTTTTTTCAGGTGTCCAGGGCTTAAACGCCTTGTTATGCCTGCTTGGGAAAAACTAGAAAAGGCAACAATATGCAGTGCTTTTCGTAAATGGAAAGATCTTGAATCACTGATGATGCCTAGTTTAGAAGAACCTGCATATATCATCAAGAAAATTGGAAGGAGTTGCAAAAAACTTTCTGAATTGAAGATTATGGGTCCCTGTGATATGCTGTTGGCCTCTACACTGGTATCATTTCTTCCGAACTTGAAAGTGTTGAGTGTGAGGTGTACGGAGTTACCTAAACCTGCTTTGGTTATTCTCTTAGAGGGATTAAAACAGTTGAAAGTGCTCAACATATCGCATTGCATAATTACTGAAGACCTTCCTCCACCTGCACCAATGAAAATTCTGACCGAGCTTGATGAATCCATTCTCGAAAAAGCATCTAGGTTAGACAAATTCCTAACCTGCATGAGTGACTCATGCATCATGTGTCAGCGCACTCGGAATGATGAAGGGTTCATGAAGTGGTATAAGTATGCAGACCTCTGGAAAGTGGATGAAGTGAAGTCTCTTGCAATTTGAAAACTTTAAGAATGTAATGTTTTGCTTCATTAGTTGAAGGTGCAGTATAATGTGTAAACTTGTGTGTATGAAACACAATAAAACCTTGTAATGCTATTTCTGTGTTGTAAGTCTTCTCTTTGACAGGGCGGTTTTCATGTTCTTCGTGTTTATGCTTTTTGTTTCTCCGTTTCCGTAGTGGTTATTTCTCAACCCAAAAAAAAAAGGTGAGGTGTTGCCAAAGCTTACGGAAAATAAGTATTTGTGGGGAGTAGCAACGTTCTTTAAAAGTTGAAAAAATAAAATAATCCTCAGATACTTTTTATAAGTTTGGTTAAACACTAATTCGTGCTCAATAATGTTTTTTTTTTTTATATAAAAAACAATTATTACTCATCAAAAGTAAATGTTTTTTTAAAAGCACTTTTGAAATAAGTTGAATTTAGAAGTTTGATCAAACATATTATTCTTCTACATTGTCTTTTGAGTTTTGTACCTAAACTCCTTGGAGGAATATGACATGCTAGGTAAACATCACATTAAAAAAGCTCTTTGAAAGAGTTTCAAGTGACGTTATATGTGAATTTTTTATTTTTTTGTTTTTCAGTAAATTAGGTTAAAATATTCCCCAAATTAATATCGTTTCACTAATTTCATACCCAAATGATAAAATGTTCACAGAACCCATGAGCAATCATGAATTCATTGTGTAAGGTGGATTCATTTTAACATTTTCTTTCTTCCCTCGCACATTTCTCATCAAATTATTCCAATAGTTTAGCACACATTCAATAGGGGGTTTTCAATTTAAAGAAAATTATCGTTCAAGAGGTAATAAAAATATTTAATAGCCTAAATATGAAACTGTAAAATGATAGTAATAATTGAGATTTATAAAAAATCTATTCTATCTGTTTACTATGTTATTGTAACACCCCAAAAATTCTTAAGTCTAGATCAGATCTTGAAAGTTCAGAAATCAAGTTTGCGGAAATTTGAGATCTACGAGCAGTATTTTGTGGGTCATAAATGAAATCACATATCGTAGATAAGGCTCGTAGAATCAACTTCAGAAGCATGAAAATTTGCCTAAACTTTACGAGGCAAGTTTACGGGTCATAGACTGTCTCGTAGATCAAGTCCTGAAACTCGATATTTGATGACTTTTACTGACACTGTTTAAAGTTCGCTAAGGGAATCACGGTCCATAGATAGGTCCTGTATACCAAGCTTCAGAGACTCAAAATTGACTTGATTTCCACGAGAGATATCTACGGACGGTAGATCAATCTACAAACCGTAAATGGTCTCGTGGAAGTTGTTGATATCAATTTTCTCTCAGGAACATTTTGGTCTTTTCGCACTCTTTTAATTCTATACTATGTCATTTTGACTTATTCTAAGTGTGATTAAGAAAAAGTTAGTCGACTAAACCTCCTCATTCACACCTAACTCCCAGAAAATCAAATTTTGTGCGTTCAAAGTTTCTCCCAAACAAGAACTAGGGTTCCACAATTCCAAGTTCAGTTTAAGGATTCAAGCTATTTTTTTAATTTCAGGTATGTGAAATTTTTTATAAATGGATATCTTTTCACCCATTGAGTCCTAGGAAAATTCTATAATTTTAGATATTTAATTACCTAAGGTGGTAGGGTTCTTATGGTTAATATGTCTTTCAAAGTAATTATATTTCTCTCCATTATCAACCTGGAAGCATGTGTTTTTCTCATGATTCTCAATATGTTTGTTAGATTATACCTGATGAATCCTTCGAATATAATATGATTTGAATTTTTATGTTTTTAGTCAACATGTAAGAATTTTCATGTTTAGTATTTTTAGTATTTATGCATGAGACGGTATCAACAAAAGTGTATTATTTTAATATAATGCATTCAGTATTTATGAGTTATTCGGTTATCAGTATTATCAAAATAATCAGTTTTATTTAGTTATCAGCTTACATTTAGCTGAGAGAGTTACTTAGCACAGTATGGATTCTAGGAATGAAGGCTCACGGTTAACGTCTACTAAGACCTTTTGTAGTAATTCCTAAGTCTTAGAATTGTGTGCCATCGTAGATCTATGTAGCCTGTAGGCACATATTATCATCTTAGTTGTATTAAGTCAGATCAATCTATATACCCTGTTAATTTATATTGGGCCCTTTTTATGGGGATTATGCATCGAACTCCATGTCTAGCTTGCATAATTATATGTCAATTTTAGTATCTCCCACAGTTCAGTCTAGCTTTTCATATATTACATGACTATGACCATGACTTAGTTTATTTCCGTTCTAGTACTTATCAGTCCCATGTTATTTTAGTTGGTCATTGCATCAGTTCATCTACTCTAGATCAGTATATCAATTCAGCTTAGTATTCTTGTGATGCATGTCTCGCATACTTAGTATATTCAAAGTAATGATCACATTCTCTCTGCACTATATTATTTGATAATATAAGTTCGAACATTCAACATTTAATTTGTAATTAGTACGACTTTTGATCATCTCAAGAACAGGTTGGTGGGTCTTCATCTTTCGAGGACAATTGTTATATTTCTTCAGTATTTGTTATTTCAGTTTTCAGACAATTAGAGTTAGCTGGGGGCTTGTCCTAGCAACTCATCCTAGTAGATACTTTCAAATAGACAGTCAGTTAGATGTTAGTTTTTTTGCTTTGAGTGTGTTTTGATGAAATCATTTTTGAGTATTCAATTTTAATCATCCGGACTCGTCATTTATTTCAGTTTAGCTTCCTCATTTACTTTTTTTTTTTACAAGTATTATATATGTTAATCTTAGAATGTCAACCATGGATTAACTTGGGATTACATGTGTCTTACTATCAAGTCGTGACAGTTATAGTGTTGAAACTCACTAAAAGTGCAACATTTAAGGTACATTTTGATAAATGCAAATGACAAATTCAACTTATTTTATCTTAGAATCCTAAAGAATATCGTAAAGTCTAAATTCTGAAACCTTTAATGTAAAACCTTGATTAATTAACTTATTGGAGTTGTAAAAAACGCGAAAAATAATTGTTGGACAATTATTTTGGCAAAGATTTTTTTCAATTTTCATGCCACAATAACATTAGACTATATCTTCGTTGTCAACAAAGTTTAGTATGAATTAAATGCCATTTTCTACCTAATTTCTGTTAAGTTGAATGTCTAAATGGTATTCAATCACATTATATAATTATTATAGTCACCTACATGCGAGTAATTGAAATAAAAAAAAATTGACACACTATAAATTTTAAATTTCTCCACATTTTGTGAAAATAATTTATTGTTATACTATAGGAATTTTCTAAAAAAAAAAAATTAAAAATGTACTATACATATTCGCAATTTGTGAAAATGAATAATTTTAATTATTTAATATTTAAATCTAAATATCTGAATCATTAATATGTATCCAAATTAAAATAACGGTGAATATCATATGGCGTCCTTAATCAAAATATTACTCAAGAAAAATATGACTTTAAAAAAATATTTAAAAAATTAAAGATGTAACAATATTTTTGTGTAGATTAATTTTCTATTTTATTTAGTTGCAGAAAGAAGATTGTTATCTTATTTGCATTAGACTAGTTATAGATGGTATGAACTTAGTAACATTAATTTTCTATTTATAAAATTTATTTAAATTATAAATATAATTTATATTTAATTATGAAATGTAATAATACTTCATTAGTAACCTAAAAAAAAAATCATGAACAGCTGAATGATCCTAAGCAGAAATGTTGACAATCTCATGCCTGTTTAAAATCATTTGTCTTATTAAAAAGTAATATCCTATATCACTTATTTATTAAAAAACTTATGTTAAAACCCTCAAGAAAAGTTATGCACGACTATAAAAAATTACACATTGTACATGAAAAAAAGAAATATTCCTTCCATTTTAATTTATATTATTTTTCATTCTTTTAGATTTAAATTATATATTTGAAAGGCATCTTTTATTATATTAGTATGAGGAAATTCGTAATATATATTCTTTAAATTAAAATCTAAAACTAATCAAATTAACTTTTAATAAATGAAAAATGTCATATAAATTTGACCGAGGAAGTACACTATTTTTTCAATATGAGTTATGAGTCAAAAACACACTTAAACTATCTCACTTTATTGAGTTTTATACATGAACTATTGAGATGTGAATTTTCTACCTGAACAATTACCCAATGATTAGTGCAACACACTTAAACGTTGACAAGACCAAATGTTTGTCTAAAAATGCTTCCAGGCGCATTTGTTCATAAAATCTTTGTCCACCTAATATATATAACGACTCTATTTGCTAACAAATTATTTTTAAAATATATTTTGAATTAACTTCTTTAAAATCCTAAAACACTCCCCTTTCAAATCAGATATATTGATGTCATGGTATACAAGAACACGATTAAAAAGGTGGAGAAGAAGATGATGAATGTCAAATTGAAATAAATTAATAATTACGATGATAACTTTAACATTTGATTTAATATTAATTTATTTAAATTTGTCACAATGAGACTATTTTCCGTGTGGAGTGTCATCAACCAGGTGACAAAAAATTTAAACAAAAAAGAGTGTACACACTTTATTGGAAATTAGTCAAGGTATGTTCCCCTAATTATTAATGATAGGAAATTATCATCTCAATAGTTTAAATATGAAATTTTAAAATTTAAAATTTAAAATAATTTAGATGTATTTTTGACCTATTGAGTACCAACTCTTATAATATATATTTGGCTTTTTACACGAAGGCATATGTTCCTCAAGAAAACAAAAAAGATGGTATCTTTCATTTCCAGAAATAAAACCAAATATCATGTACTAAAATTTGTATATATTTTAAGTGTTTATTTTCTGGCCCTGTTATTTATTTAATAAAAAATAAATATTTGTAGATTACAATAATTTTATCTATCCAAACCTAATTTACTTGGCATAAGTCTAAAATTTTTTATCTTCTAATATTGAATCGTTGGCTCGCTTGGTAT